ATAAATAAAAGATCAAATGAACACAAAAGGGATCGTTTACAAAACAACAAACTCAGTACATTAGTTGCTAACCGTAATGAGTCTCGCTTAATTTCGATTTAGAAAATGCTTCTTTGATTAAAAAAGAAATCAGTATACTAAAATGAAAGCATATAGAAAGTGCTTTAATCGCTAGATCATCCACATTAAATTTGCATCCAGGCTTTTACTACATATCACCTTTCTTAGCAGATCTTCTGTTATCACAATATGGGATACTCGATAAAAGTGATGAAAGCATCTACTATATAAAATTAGCTAGACTATATACCCAAACGCATATTTGAAAAAAAAATTAAATTGAATTATTTTTACTCGTGATATATATTTAGTGACATTTTGCAAATTCTTTAAATAAACTAAAATAGCTCTTTAGGAAATACAACTATTTTACTATTTATTGCAAACCAAATTATCACATATTTCAACACAACCGTAGTACAAGACCAAATTTTTAATAAGCGACATTATAACCAACACTAAGGAGCCGTCTGTTTCTGCATACATCATATGTCTAGCCACACTGATGAGCTGTGATACCGCGAAATAGTCTGTCTGTGGATGGCTATATGCTCCCTTTCATAGGTTGTACACTTTATAAGAAAGGGAATTTGTTGGCTACTGCTGATTAATTGCTAAAAGCTCTTCGCTATGAATTAAGGATCCTGGTCGTCGGTAATGCTTATATCTCGTTTATAACGCGTTAAAACTTTTCTTTTTCAGTAGCGTGTGCCGATGGCCTAAGGGTGAGAGTCTCCGTCAGATTTCGATCCTGACTTGAAGTAATCGCATGTCTAGCAACATTGATGGGCTTTGATGCAGCGAAGCAGTATGCCTGTAGATGACTATATATATATATATATATATATATATATATATATATATATATATATATATATATAAAGTGCGTAGGTATGCAGAAAATAGAAAAGAACACGTTGGGTGCATAATCCGAGGTTCCTTAGTATTTTTGTTTTTATTTTTAAGAAGACAGTGCTCCATACAGAAGTAGAGCTTATATTATAATAATATTTTTTGTTTAAAAATATGATTCCTTCGCTACATAAGAGTTCTCATGTTTCAAAAACGAGAGTCGAAATATCCAAATAATTATTAAAATTAAGTTGGATTGTGGTGTTTAGTCCCGTTTCATCTTCAAGCGAAATTTTAGGAATAGGCTATCTGTCGGCTTACGTGTATTTTTAGGCCCGGTCTGTTACAGAATTCGTTATTGTGGGAGTGGCTAGACTATTTTCCTTCGTTAAGTGGTCAGAGAGTTAATTCTCATCAATAGATTCATCATCTTCTAAGAGGTTTTGGTAAGGTTGAGTAGGGTATCTATTTCAAGGCTAATGTTTGCGGTCACCCTTTAGTTAGTTCCCAGTGAGGGATATTTTTATGGCGCGCCTACAATCGTTATGTGTCTGGGGAATTGTCTTTTATTATTGTCCATCTGATTATCTATTTATTTATTTGTTTATTCAAGTGGGTGTTTTATATACAGATCGCATTTCACTGAATTTCAATTTGTTTTTTTGTTTTTTGACGACTACAAAAAGGGTTTTTCCTATTTAATGATTTGACTTTGCTTTTAAGAATTTTACTTAGCTATGGGATTTTTTTTTTTTTATATATATATATGCTAATTATTTAATGCGAAAGTTTGTTGGTGTCTGCAAAAAACCGTTAACTCCTGCCTATGGTTTAATAATTTTTCATTGTTTAGAAATTTAATGATGTGTAGTTTTTCCTGTAAGCATAAAGGACATGGGTCATCCCAGGTTTTACAGGTTCCTGTTTTATTTATTATTTTCCATTTTACTTTTGGTGTTTTATTCGTTTCTTTTAGATGCCAGAAATATTGGGATAGAGATGTTTAATTTCTATTTTGAATATTGTTGAAGGAGCTCTTGTGTTGCCTCCATCTAATTTTAAATTTATCCTTTGTTGAGCCTATGTATATCCTATCAGTGTTAGGACTCTCAATGGATCAGATAGTGCACTGGTATACCACATATTTTGTGAGGCATTTATTTTCCAACGGGCAGTTTTTAGGGTTTCTACAATCACATAATTTTTCGTTATTTTTATCCAATTTTGGTTTATGTGTTTTATTACTGGTTTGGTTTGCGTGTTTTTCGAGGATTTTCTTATTATGTCTAATGATAAAATATAGTTTTAAAGTATGCTATATTTATGGGTTAAAGTGCTCAATATCAGGGATAAAGCGTATATTATAAAAAGTGGACATTGAACTCAACACCCACAGGCGACAGTTTTTCATGGCGTGCTGAATGAGTTTAGCATGAAACAAACTGTCGCCTCTGGGTATTGACTTCAATGTCCACTTTTTATTTTTCATATATATATATATATATATATATATATATATATATATATATATATATATAAACCTAGTGAGCCAGACAAACCTACCCAGGTTTCACCTACATAGATCGTCAGGGAAAGCTGGCTCCAGCTTTCCCTGACGATCCGTGTAGGTGAAACCTGGGTAGGTTTGTCTGGCTCACTAGGTTTATCTAGGTCTGCTCTACGGTTGTATTGAACTCTTTTGTTAGTTAGTTGTTTACTCGTGTCGGGGTTTTTTCTTTGGGCTTTAAACCTGTATCTGTGCGATTTTTTTCGACAGACTTTCATGTTTCTAGCTCTTTCTTTTTTAAAAACCTTTTTTTCCTTCGAGATTGATTTGATTATTGGCAAATCAAAAATTCGAAGGTTTTTTGAAACGAGTCTAGTTACCTATATATATATATATATATATATATATATATATATATATATATATATATATATACACCCAACTTATACTGATGGCATCAGTTTTCAAGTAGGTATCTATGCTGATGACATAACCATTTATTACTGTCTTAATAGTAAGTCTGATCGTTTAGATAAGATCATATTGCCAGATGCTCTCAAAAGTCATCTACATTCTGTTGTTAACTGGGGCAAGGAATGGCTTTTTAACTTTAACTCCTTCAAAACGAAACTATTCTCTTTTAATCGTCTGAGAGAACTCTTTTTACCTTCCATCACCACGGCAGATACCAACCTCCAGGCGAGTGACTCATTGAGCCTTCTCTAACGTTTACTGCTGACATGAAGTGGAAAGATTATATTGAATCAATTGCTAGGTCTGCTGCTGTTAGTTACCTGCGTTGTGCTTGACAATTTTTCTCGCCAGAATCTATTTACAATATTTATAAATCTACCATTCGTCTTCGCTTTAAATATCGCTGCCTGGTACTCCTGTTATATATTTAAAGATTCTTGATAAAATACATAGAGAAATCTGCAATGTCATTGGTCTGGGTCTGGCATCTCGCTTTCAGTCCCTTTTCTACAGCCGTAATGTCGCTTCCCTCTGCCTTTTCTATTAATATTTACATAGTAATTGTTCTGGGGTGCTTTCCGCTATGGTAACTAGACGTTATAGGCACAGTGCTAGATTGGCGGCAAGGATTCATCATTTTACAGTTGAAATGGCGTGATGTAACCGTAAGTTCTATGCTAACAGTTTCTTCTATCGCACTTCTCGCCTGTGGAACTCCCTTCTGGTTTATTGCACCCCGGTCGATGTCATTTGTTCTCTTCTGTCTTTTAAATTCTTGTTCTTTTATTTTTCTCTCTCCTTAATACTAGTTTTTCTCATATGTTTAACATTCAGTAACGTCTTGCGTCCTAGTAGTTTTATATGCCTTGCCTGCTTCATTGTAAAATTATATATATATATATATATAATTATTTATTTAAAAATATTATTCCAACGATACATAAGAGTGCCTAACGAGTTCTTTTCCTATTTTCTATATATTTTTACATATATATATATATATATATATATATATATATATATATATATATATATATATGAAAAAATGGCAAACGGCAGACCCTTAAACAGTAACCGACAATGGTCGATCCTTAGGCTATTAGGACAGGGTAAGTACCCTTCACACCTGAAAACATCAATTAAAACATTTTATAGCTGTTTGTATTCAGTAATTTAAAAATAAATTCCCTTCAGGAATAATAATGGCCACATAAAAAATGTGGTTTTAGCAGGGAAATTATCTATACGTCTGCTAGAATTGAGATATACACAAGATCGAATGTATTAGGTTGGTGCAAAAATAATGATGTACTAATGTCGTTTTTTGACGTATTTTAACGTCAAAAAACGACATTACGTCATTATTTTTGCACCAACCTAATAGATCAAATGCAATAAGTTGTAATATTATATATATATATATATATATATATATATATATATATATATATATATATATAATTTTTTTAAAATATATTATTTAAAAATGTCAACATTTCTTACTTCTCTTTATTCATTATTTACTTCCATTTAAATCGAAGCTGTGATCTAAATGCTACGCTTATTTCTTCTAGGATACAAAATGGTTTTATTTTAATAACTTTGAATAATTTAATTGTAAAAGCTATCATCAGAACAAACGTTTATTCATAAAGAATGCTTATTTTTTTAATCTGATTTTTAAGACTTAATATGCACATTAATTATCCTCATTAAGCAAGAACCATAGGCTGGACAATATATAAGACACATGTTACTATCTATAAATGCCAAACTCGCTTTTGCATGGTCTACAATTATTAATGCGATCTTAACCCCAAGTATCCTTACTTTCACTCGACATTTACTCTTCCTCGGGATGAAGTCTAGGGTGATTAGCTGGTGCTAGAGGCGTCATAAGAAGATGAAATACAAAGAGGATTGGAGCAATTTTCTCCCTAGCCGAGTACTCATAGTTGTCTGCTTTATCTACATTCGATCTTGTGCCCATCTCAATTCTAGCAGACGTATGGATAATTCCCCTGCTAAAACCGCATTTTTATGTGGCCATTATTATTAATTACAATCTTGTGGGAAGCTTCCTGAAGGAAATTTATTTTTAAATTACTGAATAGTACTTGACACAAAGAATTCCAGATAGAGAGATCTGAACAGACTGAGATAGATAGATAGATAGATAGATAGATAGATAGATAGATAGATAGATAGATAGATAGATAGATTTTATCAAAACCATAGATAGATAGATAGATAGATAGATAGATAGATAGATAGATAGATAGATAGATAGATAGATAGATATGAATAAAACAGATATATCTGTATAAAGACGTAGATAGATAGATAGATAGATAGATAGATAGATAGATAGATTTTATCAAAACCATAGATAGATAGATAGATAGATAGATAGATAGATAGATAGATAGATAGATAGATAGATTTTATCAAAACCATAGATAGATAGATAGATAGATAGATAGATAGATAGATAGATATGAATAAAACAGATAGATCTGTATAAAGACGTAGATAGATAGATAGATAGATAGATATAGATAGATAGATAGATATATGAATAAAACAGATATATCTGTATAAAGACGTAGATAGATAGATAGATAGATAGATAGATAGATAGATAGATAGATAGATAGATAGATAGATTTTATCAAAACCATAGATAGATAGATAGATAGATAGATAGATAGATAGATAGATAGATAGATTTTATCAAAACCATAGATAGATATGGATAGATAGATAGATAGATAGATATAGATAGATGAATAGATATGAATAAAACAGATAGATCTGTATAAAGACGTAGATAGATAGATAGATAGATAGATAGATAGATAGATAGATAGATAGATTTTATCAAAACCATAGATAGATAGATAGATAGATAGATAGATAGATAGATAGATAGATAGATTTTATCAAAACCATAGATAGATAGATAGATAGATAGATAGATAGATAGATAGATATGAATAAAACAGATAGATCTGTATAAAGACGTAGATAGATAGATAGATAGATAGATAGATAGATAGATAGATAGATAGATAGATATGAATAAAACAGATATATCTGTATAAAGACGTAGATAGATAGATAGATAGATAGATAGATAGATAGATAGATAGATAGATCTGAAAAGAGGGAAAGAAATAAAGACGGAGAAACAGACAGAAAGAGACTTAGATATGTACGAACAACATAGCATATTGATGTGGTGTACAATGGTAGTACTTAAATCGCGTAGACAAAGATATAAATTGAATTTTTTTTTCCTTTCATTTGTACATTTCTGAATCTACGTTTGAGATGCCACTGCCGTTCAGTGCGTTTGCCACTAATGGTTCTTAATCTTACATCAAACGAATTGTTAATAGATTAAACGACATGCAACTCAGGCGCCAACAGTTAAACTGGGGAAAATGTGATAGTATGGATTTTGTAGTTTGCAAGCATGGAAAACAGCGACGAATAACACACATACGCACACACACACAGCCATGTACGTATATATGGCATAGATAGATAGATAGATAGATAGATAGATAGATAGATAGATAGATAGATAGAGAACGGGCCGAGATAGATAGATAGATAGATAGATAGATAGATAGATAGATAGATAGATAGATAGATAGATGCATATACAGAGATATATTGATATAAAAAAATGAATTAGAAATTAAAAATGAAATAGATATTAGTTAAATGAGATAGATAGATAGATAGATAGATAGATAGATAGATAGATAGATAGATAGATAGATAGATCATGAGCCTGCATAGATAGATAGATAGATAGATAGATAGATAGATAGATAGATAGATAGATCATGAGCCTGCATAGATAGATAGATAGATAGATAGATAGATAGATAGATAGATAGATAGATAGATAGATAGATAATGAGCCTGCATAGATAGATAGATAGAAATAGAGAGAGTGTGAAGTGTATATGTCGTCAAGAAGTCAAAAGCTTAATGATAAAGAAATCATTCTGTCAATCAAATATTTATTTTCAACTTAATCTACTTCCTTGTCAATGCACTTAATCGAACGCCCCTCTATAGGTTCTTCTTTATGTACCGATTCCCCTCAGATCGTCGGCGATTATGGATCACCAGAACTTCCTGCCCCTTGTAGCTGACCTTTCTGTTATTTCTGCTGAACTCTATTCCACCATTCATTTACGCAAGCTCACCATGTATGTTATGCGCTCTTTTCCTCTGTCTCTCTTGCCCTCTACCTGTCCTGTGAGTATCAGATTTTCCCAACCCTCCTTCCTCATTATGTACCCCAGAAACTTCAATTGTCTCTTCTTGATGTTAAGTATAGATTTCCTTTTTCTTTCTATTTTCTATAAAACTTCGTCGTTACTCTCATTTTCGGTTCATGGTATGCCTAACTATCCTTCTGTAGAACCACATTTCTGTTACTTAAGTCTCTTCTTCATGTTTAAGAAGATTGTCTAGCACCCACCGCCTTACAGGAAGGACAGATATCATGTAACAGCTTAGTAGTCTTTTCTTTGTTTCTAGCGAAGTCTTTATTTCTTAATACTTTGCTTAGCTTTTTGGGAGGCATTTTTGGCCATCCCTATACGCCTTCGGACATCAGTGTCAAACTTTCTGTCCTCTGTTAAAACACTTCTCAGATATTTAAATTTCCACGCTATTTGATTCCGGTATCTCCGATTTGCAATTCACACTTAGGGTTCATCGTTTTGCTAACAGCCATGCATTCTGTCTTCTTGCAATTGATGTTTAATCCTTTCTTCTTAGGATTTTTTCTAGTTTTCTTTCTGTGTCTCCTATCAACACAGTGCCATCTGCATATCTTATGTTGTTAAGATGGTGACTACCAATAACGCCAATATAAAAGGCATATTTTTTAATGCGTCTTAACACAAACATATATACGTGTGACGTCTGAAAAGTTCATAGGCTGACTACGAAGGAATCATGAGAGAGCAGTGAAATCTTGAAGCATTAATTTCAAATACATTGTTTCATGAAATTCACTTTCACATCGTGGTGTTATCAAGTACCTGCAGAAAAATGTTATCCTCAGTAGCCTTCTGTAGAGCCATATTTCTGTTGCTTCAAGTCTCTTCTTTATCTCTGAGATTATCCGACGCTTACTACCATACAGGAAGACAAATATCACGTAACAGTTTAGTACTCTTTTCTTTGTTTCCACCGAAGTCTTTTTATTTCTTTATACTCTGCTTGGCTTTTTGGAAGGCATTTTTGGCCATCCCTATACGCCTTTGGACATCAGTGTCAAACTTTCTGTCCTCTGTTAAAACACTTCTCACATATTTAAATTTCCACGCTTTTTTGATTCCGGTATCTCCGATTTGCAATTCATACTTTGGGTTCATCGTTTTGCTAACAGCCATGCATTCTGTCTTCTTGCAATTGATGTTTAATTCATTTTTTTTTTCGCTTTCCTTCACTACAATGATGAGGCAGTCCATATTTTATACGATTATTGTTGTTTTTTATTTATTTTATATTTAAAATAAACGTAACTAAAAAAAATATATGGACTGCTTCATTATTGCTATTACTCGACATATTTAACAAAATTTAAATTATGTAACGGTCAGTCTCAATTCAGGACATGAAGATTGCGTTCTACATGAAACTCCGAGTCGTTCGTTTCCGGTGAGGAAAAATATGTATATTTATTAATATACAGTTAACATAGAAGTTAACACTTAGAGGCGAGAGTCTGTTTCATGCTAGATGCAATCGTCAGGCCTGTCGCCTCTAAGTGTTGACTTCTATGTCCACTTTTATATTTACACACGCTCTATCTCTGATATTGAGTACTTTATCCCATAAATATAGCACATCTTAAGACTATATTTCTTCATATATATATATATATTCTCTTCAGAATTATTCTGAGAAATTTAACAATATGTCGACATGGAAGACTAAAACAAAGTAAAAAAAAAGTTACCCATATCCAGTAGGAGGTTTACAAATGAGCGTTCCCTTTTTAATATTTTGAATTTAATCTAACAAAAAAAAAAAACATTTCGCTTGATAAAGTCGGATTAACGGAAAGCGTCGGCAATGACAAAGAAATATATTTTAAAATTGTCTTTTTTATCCAAATTGTCTTATCTTCAGAATTATTTTGAAAATTTAACAATATATATATATATATATATATATATATATATATATATATATATGTCACCCACAGACAGACTGTTCCGCTGTATCACAGCTCATCAGTGTGGCTAGACGTTAGGTTGCCTCTAGCTTAGGATCGAAACCTGACTAATACCAGGTGTAACAGCAAAATTGTTCAACTCGAGTAACAGCATGGGATAATTGTCCATCCTACAAAATGTCTAATATCAATAAAAACAACTTAACTAATTAAGTATCTTTTTCAAGGTTTTCAGACGTTTAGCCATCTTGGCATAATTTGTCGTAAGAATCAGTGAAAAACACTAGAAAGAGAACAGGTGAAATCGTTTCGTGTTAGCCCCACTATATCTTCCCAACTGAGCAATGATGAGAGGAAAAAGATCATCCAGGCCTTCAGTAATGGTACCAACATTCGTACTCTGGCTTCTCTCTTCAAATCCATTCAAGAACCATCAAGAGAATAGTGAATAAGTTTAAAAAAGAAAGAGAATAAGTTTAAAAAAATGATGATTCCTCTTCCTGTTTTAAAAAAAGGAAGAGAGATCATCATTTCAACTTAGAGCTAAATACATTCTTATTGTTCAAAGTAGAGTCCAATAGTGTTATAAAAAAAACTCGGAGAATTCCAGTAAGATATCTTTAATCATTTCTAAGATACAACAGTTCAAAGCTTAATCTAACAATTGGACAATTTTGCTGTTACACGATTTGGACAATTCTGCTGTTACACTCGGTATAATAAAATGGATTAAGTCCGACGATTATTTAATATATTTTCCGTTTATACGTTATCTTTATAGATACAGCTATAGAGGTAAATGCTCTGTTTTTTATTAAATATTATTAATTACATTACTGTTCGAGAAATTTCGTAGAATATATGCTTTCTCCGACAGGAATCGAACCTGTATTCTTGTGCGGAAACCGTGATTTAATCTGACGTGCTATACCATTTAGCTACAGAGAAGCGCCTGGTTAGCAAAATCCAAATTACTGTTTTTAAAGACACAAACTTCGACGATTTTTTTCGATCGATCACATCTGCTTACGAAATGTATTTTAACGTAAACAATGACAACATATAATGAAATTGATATATATATATAATGTCATCCACAGACAGACTGTTTCGCTGTATCACAGCTCATCAGTGTGGCTAGGATCGAAACCCGACTGAATTGGCATCAGTCGGGGATTCTACCACTAAGCCATGTGGCGCATGACAGGATGAAGGTGAATTTAAGCGTATTTATTGTGAGATAAACACACAGTGACTGAGAGAACTCGATTCGATTTACCGAAGAGTTTTGCATTATGTGTGAGTGATGAGCGGTTACTTGTTTTCCAAGCACTTTCGTGGCAATACCTGTTTGCAGACGCCTGCCCCAGTACATTTGTGTTTGTTCAACACTCACAGTCTACCTCTGGTTTATACTGCAGCTGATTCACATGCAATTTCCAAAGGGTGACCATCCCAGGACGATACTATCACCCTGTTGTTTATTCGAAGTGTGTGTGTGTGTGTGTGTGTGTGTGTGTGTGTGTGTGTGTGTGTGTGTGTGTGTGTGTGTGTGTAACTTGGAAGCTGACTGAAGAGCTGCCAATTTCGTCACGATGCAGTGACATCACTAAGCGGCCATCACGTGACTCCACTAAAGGGACATAATCGCCCTTTGTATCCTTACGAAACATTTCCCAGATATTTAAACTTCTGCACATGTTTGATGTTTACTTCTCCAATTTTGTAACTTGCATCTTGGCCTTTTTTCTCTACCATTGCCATTATACTTAAGATGTTTTGTTTCAAGCGTGTTTTTCTCGTTTTTCCAAAGCCTTTTATAAAATCTTATGATATATTCCTTATATGAACATACGTTTGTTTGTTTGTTTAACGGCATATCAACTCGTTATGTGTCATCTAATGTCGAAACTTAATTTTCTTTGGAGCATTAGAAATTTATTTACAAAAATGTATTACTGGTAATTTTTTTTAAATATATTGCTGGTATTTTTTTTTTTTTTCAAAAATCTACTGCGGCTAACTTTTCCTTTTTTCAAAAATGTATTTTATAAAAAATGTATCTTTATTATTTTTTTACCAAAATGTGTTGTTGGTAAAGATTTTTTTGTTTTGTTTTTTTTGTTTTTTTTCAAAAATGTATTGCAAGTATTTTTTTTTCTAATAACGTATTGTTGGAAATTTTTTTTTTTTTAAATGTATTGCAAGTATTTTTTTTTCTAATAACGTATTGGTGGTAATCTTTTTTTTTTTTCAAAATTGTATCGCTGGTAATTTTTTTTTTTTTAAATGTATTGATGGGAATTTTTTTTACTATGAAAATCTATTTTTATACTGATATAGTGTTTTGACCCTAGTTTGGGGGTTAACTATTTCTCCATAGTTGGGAGCCTAACTGGTACTACCACTCCGGGCCAGGGTAGAGCTGAGAACAATAGAAATTAAGATGTGATTCTACGCTCCTCAAAACCCCCAATCTCCCGATCAGAGGCCTTGCTGCCGGGTGTAGTTTATCGTCATACCTCGGACGTATGAATATCAGTATTTCTTGAATAGTTTACCAATGATGCCAATTTTAATGTGACCTGCACAATAAAAATCTTACATGGCATAGGTTTACGTTAATATGAACAGAGATGAGGATATGTGTCCAAAGAAAAACACTAAATCAAAACACACTAACAGATTATCCTTCATAAACAATCCGGTACTATTTCTCAGT